TCTGAAATTTTGGCTTCCATTTTTGAATGGGATGTGTATTTGATCTTCAAAGTCTGGATCTCTTCTTTAGTTTGAGGACTGCTGGTGCTCGAGAGGCGCTTCCAAGCCAACGTTCATCAACATGGTTCACTAAGATAACACCTGAGCACAGGCATGACAAGTGTTGGTAGCAGCTGGGCTAAATCTTTGTTGTTTTAAATTAATAATAATAATAAAAAAGAACAGCAAAGTGGAATGTTCTTATGATAATTATATCACTTGCTTCTGGGTTAGTAGCGTTGTCTCTAGAACAGTAAGTAGCCACTATGAGAATAATTTTAAATATTTAGGCTATATGCATCAGAAAGTGTATTTTGGGGACCTCCAATTCCACAAAACAAAACTAAGCTTTTCCATCAGTGGACTGCTGTTTTCCTTTTTTTTTAATAGCAAGATACAATCCTCCTTTGCAACAACCATATACATAAATAGAGCCAATTATTAGGGCTTGTCTGATTTAAAATGAAGATTAAAATAATCTTCTTGTGTATGCCATACTTTCTAGATTACTCTTTGGGCTTAGGGTGTTTTTGGAGTGTTTGTTTATTCATTCTTCCAATGATATTTCTGTTTGCGCACCATATTTGTCTAAAATCATGGTATTATTCATTCCTAAGGTGTCTGCCAATGCCATTATTCTTTGTCTTCTATTTTTTGCAATCAATTATTCCATCTCAAATGCAATATCTTGAACTTGTTTTCACTGAGTGGCAAATCTCAGTATAGATATAGACTTCCAGGCTGGTATGGACCATGGATCACACTTTGTGTATAATTCCTGTCCACCTTTGCAGCAGTCTTGCACTTATTTTATCTAGAACCTGTTTTACTTCTTTTCCTTGAAGAAACATGAAAAATAATGTCAATAGCCTTGTTAAACCAAGGCCTTGCAGGCTGCAAAGTCATGGCTAAATATAGGGAGGCCAAATCTAAAAACTATTAAATTTTACCCAGCTCTCTCATTTGCTCCTGGAAATATATCTGCCTGTGTTGCATACAGAAGCAGTGGTTGCCTGTAAAATCAGTGCATTGATTTGTATTGTTTTACCTAATATTCATCAGCGCTGTCTATAAAAAACAGTATCCAGGTTTCAGATCTATTATTACTGTAAATCAGCAATCTATCAATAAAAATTTTTAAGACCGATGTGTGATCACAGCGTAGAGAGTCTCTCTGCTCACACTCTACTGTAGCAGAAACGAGTACTTTGTTCTAGGAGTCCTGAAAAGCATGGGCTGTTAGCAGAAGATATGTATTTAAATAAAACTTTGATTAATCATTTCTCATCAGAACTGGAAGGCGCGTGACAAATGAAGCCCTCTCTCTGTTAAGCCAAGCTTTTGCTACCTGGAATCAGGTTTTCTTTGAGCAGCTCTATTTTTAACTATGGTATAGCTGTACATCTTTCCAAAGGAGGAAATCCATCTTGGCAGGCCTTTAATAATTACCTTGTTAAGACTCGATAATCTCTGTATTTCCCAGGAATGTCACCATTGCCGTGTGATATCTTGCTCTTGCGCATAGCTCTTGCCATGTGAACAAAAGTTTTTAAGGGAGAACAGGGATTTTCGAGTTTATCTTGTAAAGAGGGATTTGATAGTTGCATTAGTTGGAGGTAACGCTGGCAAAGAGGCTTTGTGAAGGACTTTTTATTAAAATGTTGCTTACTGGTTCGGGAGCAGATGGCTGTCTTTTAAGAGCTAGCTTAATCAGGTTTACTCTATGGTTTTCATTTATTACAATGATGCATTTGTAAGCTGGTATTATCTGTTTATTGTGTCATCTGGTAACTAATAACCTAAGAAATATCTAACTTTTAAGGGTTATCCACTTATACCATAGAGTAGATTTTGGTATTTTCCATTAATAATGGTGTTTCTTATGAAATCCACTTATTTAAGACACTGCAGAGCATATGTGCGATATTTTCATACATGCTCCAATTTACAGAGCTGGAAAAGTTTATTTAACTGCAAAAATATTACCAGAAGTGCCTTACTGATGCTCCTCACTTTAGGAAAAATATTTATATCTAAAAACCTGATCCACGTTCCTGTGATGTTAATGTGATGACTTTCCAGTAATTTCCATAGGCTATAGGTCAAACTTAAAATCTTTCTGTGAGATTTGTTTAAAGGACTTGGACAACTGACAATTCAGAAGGCTCAATTAAAAAAATCCCAGCACTCATTAGGTGCCTGTCTGTGTCTTCAGATACTGAAATACTTGTATGGACCCAGTTCTTATCTGCATCGTTGCCTTCTTTTCCTATCTGATCAGATGGTATGACCCTTCTTGTGCTTAAGTAACCCCACAGGATCAATCTGCTTCCTGAACTTGCTCCAGTCTTGAAAATGGGGATCCAGTTAAGCTCATTATTACTTGAAAATAGCAATATTTGTATTTTTCATAACTTCTGTACTGGGTATGAATTACTGACAGATCAACTCCATCTGCTCCGGTTGTTGTCCTCAAATATGTGAGTAAACTGAACAGCTGGGATTCGGATCTTCCTTAGAACATCAGTGTGGGGCTGTCAGAATTTAGAAGCAATAGCAGACAATGAAAACAAACAAGAAATGCAGGCGAATATGTTGAGCCAGTGTGAGGGCAGCCTGTGCAGCTGTCGTGCAAAAAGTGGCTGCAACCCGGATAAAGGCTGGGCAGGGACTCTTGAAATGGTTTAGAAACATTGGAATTAATGAGTCCTCAAAATGTGAATAACTCATTTTCCTGATGCACGTGGCAGTTTTGGTTCCTGCTTACTCTAAATAAACCTCCCGGAGCCTGCAGCCTCCAAACTCAAGTGTTTCATTCTATACCTGTCCTCAGTAATGAAATTAAAATACTTTTTCCTCAGAATTCCGGAAAGATATCAGTAACTCAGTTTTGGTGTTTATGTTAATTGGTTATGTAGTTGGTATTAATTGGCTTTTGTTTTTCCTGCAAATAAGTTTTAAAGTTTTCATGTTAAGTTAAGCATGGGATATATAATGCTTAGACATATATGGCCATGATCTGTCAGTTCAGATATACATACTTGCTATCATATAGTCTTTGAAAGTTCATTACATTTCACCCGTAAATCTGTATTCCAATTAATATTTTTGCATATTATTATTCAATAAAATCTTAAATTTAGATAGTCTTAATAAATGCATTTTAAATGTCCTTTGCTCTTCAGTAATGCATAATGAGTATAATGGTTTCATTCTCAGAGTTTCTAGCCAATTTAATACAGTAGATAGTTAGCAGTGTGCACCTCATTGGTATTAAAAGATGACCCTTAAAACTTTTGGGTATGGCTGCAGCTAACATCAGAGCAGCCTGAAATACATTTTAGTATTTTCAAAGAATCTTCCTAATGCTGCTTTCCCTAGACCTGCAGAAGAAATAAATGTAAAAGTCCCTGTCTTTTAATATTCAATTATTAGCACTTCATTGGAATTTTACCTTTATTTGCTTTATCAAATGTCATATTAATTGCATTTTAAATTTACAAAGTGTGCATATATATCACACGTTTTCTTTTATTAAGCCAGGTAAGCTAGGATAGGTTCATTCAATAAGGAAGAAAATTTCATACTGACATATTCCTGATAGGTTTTAATAAAAGCTGTCAGTTGAGATAAAATAAACAAGATCTGCAGCTGGTGTACAATGACTGACTTGAGCTTCCTTGTGCCATTATCAGAACTGAAAATCTGGCCTTGAATATTTTTGATATTTATTGGTAGCTGCTAATAGCTTTATCAAATTTCAGTGTCCTTTGTATCTGCATTAGAAAATCAAAGTGATATGAGTAAATCAAACGCGATGTTTGAGTACTATTCAAGTAGAGGCTGTTATCTTCTCGTTGTCATTTTATATGCCACCTCTTATGTATAAAAACTAGTAGGCTATGGTTTATGAGCACAGCTGAACTCAGGGGGGCTTTAATGTGAGGAAAGGTAGGAGTTTTTCATTCCAAGTCTTGCATTCAGACCACCAAGTTCGTCCTATCCAAGTGAGCATTAAAGTATCAGCTCTTTGCTCCCCAAGCTTTCTATGGGACTTAACGTGTTCTCATTTTCTTTTCATGTGGTTTTTGAGCTGCTTGTTTCATGTCCAGTTAAGCCCTGAAACTTTAACATCTTGCCTCTAGACTTAAACCTTTTTTTTCTCGTATTGTCAAGAAAAGACAATCCAATACATGTGAAATGCAAAGTGCAAATGGGTAACAGTAGCCTACAAGGAAGATTGTGGAGACATCTATTAAGCAGCAGCCCTAGGCAAGAGTAAGCTCGTATTAAACAGTGACATTTATTGACTCCTTCAGTACTGCACCAGCATGGACTATGGGACTGTGCTTTTCTACCTGTTGTTAAGTAACTGTTTTCTTCCCTCCCTGTCAACACATAGCTCCTCATCTGCGTGCATTAATTAGGCTCTTACTTATCAGTGTGCGTTGTCTGTGATGTTGAGATAATTAGTGATGCCATTAATAGAGAAAGTTTACCTCGTAAGGTTCTATTGCCTTTGATTTTTTTTCACTGAACCAGGTGTTATTCCCTGAGCTCCAGACTTTAATAGGTAAGCGCTCAGGAAAACTGTCTTTGCAGCAAACTGGTTTTGTCAGGATCATCAACCCATAACTTTGCGGTTTGCAGGCGATAGGTCTGTGTCATTTGCCATTCCCTGAGTAACTTCTTACTGCCACTTAATTTTGTTTTTATCTCATCCCTTGTAGCTTTCTATGTGTCACCATCAAAATTCTACACACTCTCAACAGAGAAAAGTCCCAGAAATGTCAAAGAATTTAAATATTGTTTGTGAACGTGTTTGAAACTGGGAAGGCTGTTTAGGATACCCAAGCACCTCAGTCTAGATGACTGATGAAAACCGTACAGTTTTGTACGGTTCCCTTGCTAAGCCAAGAGCATTTTTGTGGCTTAACATTATCTTTTACTTTCCTAAACAGAGCCATCACACTGGAGAATCAGCTGGTGGTCCTTGCGACGTCTGCAGCAGATGCAGGAGGCTACTATGCCCAGGCTGTTAATGAAAAGAATGGCGAGAACAAGACGAGTCCGTTTATTCATCTCAGCATAGCGAGTGAGTACCCAAATCCATGAAAATACACCATGCTAATCAGGTCATCAAGGTATTCACCAAAATCTACCCTTTAAAAAGAGCCTTGCTGGCAAAGGAGGAGGTCAACCCTTCCTGGGTTGTTTGGAGCATGTTAAATTCCATGTGCAATCAAAGCAACAGAAAGATCCAGTAGCACCTTGGCAAATCAGCCTTAAAGCTGTTTGATGGTTTATTTCATGCAATTTAGGTAGATGATGGTATCCCTAGAGGTTTGTCGTGAAGTCATGATCGTAATTTCTTTTTAATGCGGGGTTTTATAATGCATTGTTTTGCATTGTGCATAAGTAAACAAGTCACTCTTTTGAGAGTAATTTTATTAATGGGTCTATTCCCAGTCTGTGACATTATTTTTACCTGCAGTTATCACAGAGTCCCAGGGAACATGCATTTCATTATTATTTCTTATTATTTTGCATTGCAAAATCTGTGTTAACACTTAGCATTACAGAGGCACTTCCTGTGTAGCTTTTATAGCAGAGGAAAACAAGAAGCATCAAAGCAATAGGGTCAGAAAGATGACTGCATGATAAATATATTAATATAATCATTCAGCAAAAATGTAAGCATATGTAAGCTATTGTGAAGTGTTCAGCAAATATGTTTGTATGATGCATCAATATTATAAACATATAAAATGGTTTGACTGCTTATCTAAGACCATTTTGGTAAAGCTGTTTTGAATGTAGCAGCAAGGCAGAGATTACGTTAGTCTTTGGAGCCAAAGTGGAGCATCTGACCATGGAGATGAGCAGAGATGATTGGGTAAATTGTCTGTGACACTGGCAGCCTTACTAAGAGGCCACTCTGATGGCTCTGATTCCTAAAAGATGCAAAATTCCCAGCTGTGGAGCAATCAGCATGATGAGCTCCCCAAGACTTTCTGATCTTGGAAATCATCGTTAGGGCTGAGAGAGGCCACGTGGCTCAGACCCGTGGAACTGCAGAACTTGGGAGCCTGGCTTTCCAGGCAGTGGCTCGAGCAAATCTGTGTTGCAAATACGCTAATATTTATCCGAGGTTCATCAAAAGGAAGATTTTCCTCTGCAACGTTTCACTTGTGACACAACAGGGTTTTCTGATAAAAATTTCTAATCAGATATCAAAGGTTCTTAACGAACGCAGAGAAGCTCTACCTGTGGAATGCATGGTACATTGTGTAGGATGTCACTTAGGGCAGGATCAGACACCAGACAAGCCTGTTTAATTATGAACATACCCACGAGCACCTGAAGTTGGCAACGAGAGGAGCTTCTCAGGGTTTTTTTGTTTATCTTTCTGAAAGGGAAAATATTCCGAATCTATTTGTGAGTTTTGGCTCTGCTGTGAGACGTAGATTGTAAACATTATTATTTCTGATGGTATATGAATGGGCTCGCTAACATTTTAGTAATTTCATTTATAAAGCAGGTTTGTATTGTTTGTATTATGTGCCCAATAATATACTTCACACTGTAATTTCATATCTTAATTAATGCCAGAAATAGTCTGTGATCATGCATGCATAACAAGTGCTGTGCAGAACAGAAGGTAATACGGGCATATGGAAAAGAAAACATTTAAATGCATGCAGACTAGCTACCATGAATGTGAAGTCTAACTAGAGTGTGAAAAATAGAAATGATTAAATGGATAAAAGAAAATGAAGAATGAGGCAGGATGGAAAGCCAGATATGGATTTGTTTGTTAGGATGGATGTTAGCCAGTGAGATTTTCAAATTGCCTGCACAATAGCTAGGATTATTAAAACTATGTGTATGTTGAAGAAGAGCTCTTGGCAATAAGGCGTTACAGTATCTGTAAAGCAAGTGAGATTAAGGTGGCCATTCTGAACTTTGATTTGAGGAGTAAATTTAAAAAATAAACAAGTAAACATGTGATACCTTAGATAGAAGTGAATGAACCTGCTGGGCCCAATAACAAGATAATCGAGCAAAAATATGGCCCTGAAGCAGTATGCAGGGGATAGTTACAGAGCAATTATACGTTTTGGAGGAGTAATAATGACCTCCAGCAAATGGCTGGAAACGTAATTCTTAAAGGTGCTTCCAGGTCGGGAAGATGCTACATTGAATTGCCACTGTCTGAATTACATCAAGTATTAAATGTGATGACACAAGTCAGTTTCCTTTAGGACGTGTGCAAAATAATCCAAACCAATAAAACCCAAACTTAATAGACCAGATTAATTAAAACCAAGGAAGTCAGATTCTAACAAACAGTGGCACAAGTAAAATGGTCTGTCAAATCTCTGTGTGAGCGCATTATATATTAATTATTGAGCACAATCTCGCTACATGACTCGGCACACATATTGCCACTTTTTATCAAGGACAGAAGAAAAAAAATCTGAAGATGATTCCCATGGCAGTCATCCACCTTGAACACACTGCTAGAGAGATGCACAGCCTATTATTCCTTGAAGGACATCAGAATTAGATTCTCTCCGGCCTTTAGGAAAAGCAAATTTGCGGAGTCAAGCCTGACAGCTGAGAATGTCCTCAAATTCAGTGCCCGTTCTAGGCCCAAACACAAGACTGACACCAGGAGAAAGGCATGGTCACCACCTGGGAAAAACCAAGGACTCAGTCAGGATTGTTTTTCCCCTGCAGCCGAGTTCCTGGCTTGGTAAACCCTGGTGTTTTGCATGCCTGTCCTCTAAAAATCCTGTGTGTCTTAATCTGGATGTCCAAGCCTCCAAAACAGTTTGTAGCATAAGACCTGATGAAGCTATTCTTGAAGACAATGGACATTTCCTCCAAATGGATGCTTCTACTGATTTCAACAGAATTAGATCATCCCCGAGGTGACAGATATTTATGAGTTTAGATTCTACAGTGGCAAATGCCCTAGAGATAGAGAAGTGGTTACAGCAATAACTGAAAATGTAGCCAAGATGAGCTAAAATTTCAGATTTTTCTGACCTGATAAGGTTTTATATTTTTATTGTGTGACACAAACCCCAATGAATTAAATTTTATCCGACAGGCAACATTCTGGGAATATGCCACATCTGAAATTAAAGTGAGATCTCATCAATTAGTACTGAACTTAAAATGTCGTCAAACTAGTTGAGCTGTAGAGTAAACTAAAATTTTGCCTTTTTTTAACCATGTGTCTTAGCATTGATGTGAATTAAACAGAATGTTGGCTAGAAAAGACTGAAGGTCAAAAGTTTAATAACAGGAGTAGTAACAAAACCCCAATGCCTTCATATATCATTTACTCCTTATGGAAAATCCACAGCTACTTTATTCTGGAGCATCTTACTATTAGACTGGCTATAGTTCCAAACTCAAGCAGAGAGATGTTAGCGTTAACGCTGCAGTGAGCTTATTCCTTTCTTACATATATTTTTTAGTAAGAATAAAAAAAAAAAAAAAAAAAAAAAAATCTTTATCATTCTTTCCTAAGCATGTCTCTCCAGCAGTACGTTTGGTGAGAATGTCTTTAACTGAGCTTTAATTCTTTAGGCATTTTTTAACTTGGCTGTTCTCCTGCAGATAGACATACTCTGCAGCACAGATGGTCTTCCTAAAGACTTTGTTTGTCAGGGGGATAAAATGACATGCTTTTGATCTTACCAGCGTTGGCAGGACAATTAAAGATAAAACTGTTCATTAAGGCCAGGCCATCAGAAAACTCTGATATTTCCTTCAGGGCCATATTCCTTATACTAGCTAAATTTCTGTGAAACTTTGCTCCAAGCCTCTTCAGTTGTGATATGCAACATAGGAAAGTAAGAAGAAGGGTAAATCGTATTTTTTCTGCAGTTTTACACATGCCAGTGGTTTGGGGCATTTGAGGGAGGACTTTTTGAAAATTATATATTTTTTTGATATTCTAGATGAAAACATAAGGCTTCCTAGTATATAAATAAGGAATTTAAGACGTGTAAAATACCATCAGCTTCCCTGGGATGCCATAGGTGAGAGTACCACTAGCCCAGCCATAGGAGATTTAATGGTAAACACTGCTGTTTTAGCTCTTATTTGAAATACCTTATGAAAAAGCTGTGTCCCCCCAGTAAATGATTTAAATGGCAAGTTTGCAAAAGGTAGGTATGTGTAAGCTGTTCTGACAGCTTCGATACTCCTGCTTCAATTGCTTTTGCAGAGCTAATCATGTGGAACTGCAATTCAGGGCCCTGCTTCTGGACCTTCTGGTTAAGCTGTGAAATATTGAGACGCATGTCACTTCAACAGATTTATTAGTAAATTAGATAGTCGCGAGGCCTATTCATAATACTAGGAGATATGGAGTGTTCTGCAGACTGACGTCTTCTTCTGATGCAGGCTTTGTAAAAAAAAAAAACAAAAAACAAGATTGATGAAAATTTTAAAAACCTTGCCAGCCAGCATTTCTGAAGAGTCAAAGATAATAAAGCCAATTATCATTTAACGAAGATAAATTTTTCCCTTGAGCACTGGGATTTTTTATTTTTTTAAAGAAATAGACAGACTGTTGAGGACTAAAAATTAAACTCCTGGCTTGGTTGCACTGCAATTAATTTAAAAGTATGAGGGTGTCAGGTTATTCTGCCCAATTCTGCTTGCGACAAGGAGCCATTTTAATGTGTAATGGTAGTCATCTACATGGAGCTAAATAGACTCTGATTATCCCTAGTTGAAGTCTATCTTGCTTTTTTCAATTTAGTTTATCAAAACAGCAGCTTTCTAGAGAGAGAGAGTTCAATTTCAGAATAGCAAGGTAGAGATTTTTCCCTCAATGACTTATGTATGTTTGTTTTTCTCCTTAAAGAAAGGTTCTCAGGATAGCACAAGATGTTTAGGTTGTTTTCAGCGTCCATAAAAATAAAATATTTTTTACATTGTTAGGGGAGAGAGTGCAAAAGTGCCATTTTACCTGTCTTCGTACTTGACACAATATTACTTTTGACAACCTTCTGTCAGGTTTGTTCGGAAGATAAGTTTTCAGAAGATTCTGAGGGGACATTTGCCTTT